ATAGAAAAGTATTCTACATCTTCATCTTTGGAATCTTTTCCACTGTGATTGAAAAAAAAAAGGATACATTTCGTTTTAGTTTTAGTTTATCGTAGAATTTTTTTACTGGTAGCACAAATGGAGATTGATTGTCACATGAGTTAAAAAAACTATTCTGTAACTTTTCCATTTTTATTAATGATATTCAATCATTCATCTTACATCTGACGTCAAATCAGGAAAAAAATATATAATATATTTTTTAATTCAAATAATTATAATGGAAGGTACGGAAAAGATTGTAGAAATAATTGACGAACCGAAGATTCAAGAGATTACCGAGGAAAACTCGGCTGAAGGCTCCAAACTTTCAGAAAGTGAAAAAAAAAAAGAAAGTGTAAAGATTCAAGAAATTACGGAAGAGTCTGGTGCACTGGAAAAAAAGACCACAACAGTTGGATCTGAAGAAGAATCGGACGATGATATTCCAGAATTAGAGGAGGAAACAACCACTCCATCAGGTGTTGCACCAGTAGACATTACAAAAATGCAAAGTCGTGGAGAAAAAAAAGCTCGCAAGGCAATGCAAAAATTAGGGTTAAAACATGTACCCGGTATTAATCGTGTCACTATCCGAAGGCCTAAAAATGTAAGCGATTAACGAAAAAAAATAATTAAAAATTCAATTGATCCGAGAACTTCTTTGTTTCATCCGCTTCAACGTTGATAATTTTAGTATTTAAAAATATTTTAGATGTCAGAATTTTCAAATCAATTACAAATATTCTTACAGAAGGTGTTCATTTATTTTATTTTTTAGATTCTCTTTGTTGTTTCTAATCCGGATGTCTATAAATCAGCCAATTCTGATTGTTACATTGTATTCGGAGAAGCTAAAATCGAAGACCTTAATTCTCAAGCTCAGGCAAACGCAGCACAACAATTTCAAGCTGCGGAAGCCGCGGCAGCTGCTCAAGAGACTACTAAAGTGGAAGAAGAAATTGTAGAAGAAGATGAAGAAGATTTAAGTGTAGATGAGACTAATGTTGAAGCAAAGGATATTGAGTTAGTCATGCAACAAGCTGTGCGTTGTTTATTTTTTATTATAATAAAAATTTTTATTGATTTAAAATTCGATTGTATTATATATACATTATTTTATTGTGAATTAAATAAAATTTTTAATTATAATTTTT